TGGCGCACCTCCGGGCAGGGGTGCTCCGGCCCCCGCTGGTCCGGGCCCTGGAACCAACCGCAGAAGGCGATCCGGCCGCTCCGAAGTCCCCCTCCCGCCTCCCCTCACCCCCTCCACCGCCTTCGTCTTCCAGGGAGAAGAGAGAGGCCGCCGAGAAACTTCCGCGCAGTCTCGCGGAGAGGGGACGAGGGGGTGTCTCTGCGCCCCCCCTTTCATAAAAAGCTGCTCCCCCGGCAGCGGCTCCCCGCGGCACCTGCCGGCCCCATCCTCACCCCGGCGACCCAGCACCTTTCCTGGAGCGGGTTAGGAAGGTGCTCGAAGGGGGAGGGCGACGCGGAGGGAGCAGGTCCCAGGGAAGGACTCAGGGCACTGAGTCCTGACCGCCTCTCGTTAAGGGGCGCTAGTGGCGGCCAGCACGCCTGGCAGGGCCTGGCCAACCCCTTCCCCAGACCCCCAGACCCCTAACCTGGTGAGGAAACCTTCCCGGAAGGTGAGGTGTGTTTCTGGGCGGGGGTGGGTCTTTGCAGCCCCTCTTGAGGTTACTTTGAGCAAAATTCCCACGCCGGGGGCTTGTTCCTGGCTGGATGTGGGAGAAGTCCCAGGACACTTCAAGCCATGGCTGTTGCTGGTTCTTCTGGCGGGCGCGCGCTCGTGCATGCGAGCACGCAGTTAGATAACCAACATCGCAAGTACAGAAATTAAAACCCCAGAAGTTTCCACTGGGAGTGACCCTCATCCGGTGTCCCAGTGGCTGCCGGGGGCGGGGCGGGGGTGGGGCGTTGAGACAGCTGGACAGGAGCTGGGGGTCCTGATCCCACATTTGCCACAGCGAGGGAGGGGCCGGGGCCCCACTAACTCTAACTATCCCCTGAGACAAATTGGAGCCCAGGCATCCCCAGAGGCCCAGGGTCCCATTTAATGAGGGCTGTGACATCGGGGTCCATTTGTCCATGGAGTGGTCTGTGAGTTATGAACTGCCCGCCTGCTGCTGGGCAGGGGTGGGTGGGAGGCCTGGGCTCCAACTTGTGATCCTGGGCAAGTTCGCCTCTCTAAGCCTGAGGGTCCTCACCCATCATGGAGGGGGAGGGTATCTGCCCACCTCCTTAGAGGCGGGTGAGTTCCCGTGAGAACTCCATGGGTGCAAAGCCCCTCCAACACTGGACACCCAGAAGGACGCTGTCGTTGAGACTCACCGTGGCCCCATTGGACAGGGCAGACCTGCCCCTGGAGATTTCCAGATGGTCATCTTTGGGGGCACGGACCACCAAGACTTTTCTCCTGTGGGCCACTAATGGTCTCCAGCCACCTACGTTTCTGTGAGCAGCGGAGTGCATAACCAGTGTGCCACCTGGGCTGTGTACCCCAGTGCCAGCACTCCTCCTAACAGAGGCACGGTCCACTCACGGTCAGTGCCTAGCCCGGGCGCTAGAACATGATCGATACTATGTTAGACAGGGTTCTCTAGAGAAACAAAACAAGGACACTAATAATTTTATATATATTTATATAGATAAATAGATAACATAAGAAATAAACAATTAATCTATAAAGCAGTTCAAATGGCTCAGCGCAACTCACTTCCGTGAGAGAGCTAGTGCACCGGCAGTCCTTCAAGTCTTGAGGGCCACCGGGTTGTCCTCTGTGGAGCAATTCAGGCTATCCAAGCACAGGCAGCAAACAGCAAGGCAGGTCACCAACAGTCTGCCAGATGACAGGGTCCGATAGTCCCCAACTCAAGAGATGTACCTTCCAGTAGCGTGCTGAAGCAGGTCTTGAAGGAACCTCAAGTTACAGCGGCACAGACCATGGGTAGGCGTCCCACAGGTAGTGCAGCTTGCAAATGGAGGCATAGAACAAGCAAGGCAGCCGCACACAGGTCCGATGATCAAAGAGTAAGAGAGAGAAAGGCGAGGCTCACTGAGCCATTTAGCTCTCTGCCCTTCAACCCATCTCACATGTGCTCATTGGCCATGTTGGCACAACAAACCTACCTATCACAGACACGATGGAGTGCGCTCAAAAGACTTACTGCGATCCTGCCCAGGGTGGCAGTTAGCTTCTTCGATAAATGGTTGTTGTTGATGGTGTTGTGTTAGATGCCATCTAGTAGGTTCCAGCCCGTAGTGACCCGAAGCACAGCAGGACAGAACACGACCCAGTTCTGCTCCAGCCTCACGGTTCCCCCTGTGCCTGAGTTCATGGCTGCAGCCACTGTGCCCCCCCCGCCCATCTCCTCAGGGGCCTTCCTCTGTTCAATGCCCCCCTACTTTATCCAACATGGCGCCCCTCTCCAGGGACTGGTCTCTCCTGACAACACGTCCAGAGTAGGTGAGATGAAACTCACCAAGGAGCCCTCTGCCCGTCCCCCCAGGACAGCTGGGTGTGTCCCTTCAGCAGCCCCTGGTACTTTCCGCATTCTTCTCCAGCGCCTCAATTCTAATGCATCCACTCTCCTTCCGTCTTCCTGATTCCGTGTGCGGCTTTCACACGCACAGGACAGTGATGAGAGATGAGGACGTTCCATGGCACCGTCACGTGTGCAGCTCAGGGTGACAGCATCTAAGGCTGCAAGCATACAACTAGGAACCCCCAGACCCCTGTCACCCAGTCGGTTTCAATTCACAGCACCCCCAACCCCCATGACAGCAGGGTCGCTAACCCGTGGTGTTTCCTGAACGCTAATCTTTACAAGAGCAGACTGTCCCCCACAGGCCTGCTGAAGACAATGAAGCCACTGACCTGGTCAGCAGCCGAGTGCTTCATGGGTGTGCCACGACCTTTAAACCAAAAATAAAAATAACCACTGCCATCAAGTTGATTTCGACTCAAAGCGACACTCTAAGGATTTTCTGAGACCTTTACATCTTTAAGGGGGTAGGCAGCCTCATCTTCCACCCTCAGAGCAGCCGGTGGGTTTGAACCGCTGATCTTGCAGTTAGCAGTGTCGTACTGAACGGACGGCGGTTGTTGAAAAGTATCACCACAGGAAAAGCTGGTTAGAAATTTAAATGTTTTCTTTCCTAGGATATATCAATAATTTTACCTTCAGATTCAATGCACCGTAGATAACTAATCTCTTATTTGTAGGGGGTTTACAAAAAAAACAAAAAACAGGTCAATGACATCAGCCTTGGAATGTACTACACTTCAACACAAAGAACATCTCACAGCTGCATCAATGCTCGGTATCATAACACACAGAGAAAAGACGGAAATTGTCAAGGATTTCATCTCACTTGGATCTGCGATCAATGCCCATGGAAGCTGCAGTCGAGAAATGACACAACATGTTCCACTGGACGAGTCTGCTGTGGAGACCCCGTTACAGTGTTAAGAAGCAAAGAGCTCTCTTTGAGGACTGCGGTGCGGCTGATTCAAGCCAGGGTACTTCCAATGGCCTCGTGTGCACGTGAAAGTTGGACACTGAATAAGGACGACGGAAGAAGAGTGGGTGCATTTGAATGATGGTGTCGTTGAAGAACATTGAATAAACAACCGACGACCAAAAGAACGAACAGATCTGTCTTAGAGCAAGTACGGACAGAGTGCTCCTTAGAAGCAAGGACGGCGAGACTTTGTCTCGTGTCCTTTGGACGTGTTACCCTGAGGGCCCGTCCCTGGGGAAGGAAGGACACCCTGCTTGGTAGGGGCGCAGTGCACAGACTGACTTCAGTGAGATGGGCGGATACAGCGACGCGACGCGGGCTCAAACGTAGCAGTGGCTGCGAGGCTGCTGAAGAGAGCAGGCAGGGTTTCCTTCTGCTGCACACAGAGTGACTCTGAGTTGAATCAGACTGACTAGGTGAGTCCCCTGACAACAGGCCTATGGCTCCGTCTTGGCCACTTCTCCAGCCCCTGGGACACTGCGTGCTCATCTTAGGCGTTCCTCAGTTGGGAAGGGAGTGGACATTGGTTAGGAGGCAGTGCTGAGGGTTCTGAAGCCACGTTTGAGCTTCGAAAAGCCTCTGTGATTGGTTGCTCAAGTCTTCCCTGGGCACAGGAAGGGCGCGTGGTAACACAACATTGTATTTGACATCCCCCAAAATGCCCTGTGGTAGCCTATGCCACCGAGGCCATGCCACCGAGGCCACACGTAGTTCTGAGACAGGGACTGGAACACAGAGCCATGATATGGCTTAAGTGCCAGCACACCACACTCTAGAGGAGCAAAGCCAGGACCCGGTATAGGTTAGTAGACAGAGATGAAGGAAATGGCTTATGCGATGGTTGGGCTGGAGATCCCCACACCTGTGGGACAGGAGGTAGGCTAGGGGCTTCTGCTGGCTCTTGGCTTGCAGGAATGGGTAAAGTCAAAATCTGGAGGTCAGGTGGTAGACCATAGAATTCTCCAGGCTTATGTCCCAAGCACTAAAGGCCAGGTGA